GCAAGAAACAAGTACATTCGTAGCCAACTCAACAGCAGGAAGGGAAAGAAAGAAAGGCAGTTGCTGAGAGGCAAAGTTCATCACACTGGGACTTTGTAAAATTTATCTGCCACATTTGCCAATAAAGCCGTGTCACAATGTCAGTCACTATACAAAAACAAGCAACATGACTGCAGGATTACCATGTACTCCCTATGATTCCAGTTGGCAATAAAATGGTTCTCCACCTCTTTAAGGAGAAATAGCTCTACTTCGGGTACACAGCAGCAAAATAATTGGACAGCACATGCGTGTGATTTCTTAAAAAATAAATACAAAAATTAAAAATCGCTATATAACTTGCATAGCATGATCTATATTTTCTGCTTTATTGTTAGCATTTAGAACATTTGCATGAAATTAGGAAGCTAGCATTTCAAAGTTCACCTGATTCTGTTCATCATTCTGTGTCTGAGGTCATAATTGTTTCCATAACAACTAATTGTTATGTTAAATGTTAACCATACAATTGATGGTAGGAAATAATCAGAAGATAAAAAACACTTATTTCACAATTATTTTCCATGAAGTTATCTTTAAAGTAAAGAAGAAGAAGAGGTAGTAACAGTAGAGTTACAGAAGACATAATAAGGTAATTGTAAAATGTAATAATTTTGTATGAACCTGGAACTCTACACAAAATTGAAAACCTTCTAAAGCCATTTTTGGTTTGTCTTATTGAGGATGGTCTGTTTTCAAGGAATATATTTCAAATTAATTAGATCAGAGTATATGTTAACATAGATTCTGGTAATTCACTTCTTTATTGTAGAATCATGACTTGTAATGGCATTTCAGACATGTTTCATTACAGCAAAGCTTTGAAATGCTCAGTGAATAACTTCTATAATGAATTTTTGCCTTTTAAGATTTTTTAAAAAATTAGACATTGGTGAGACTGGGCTGATGATTTTAAGTACCATTCTCTGGAGCCCTTACCTATTTTTACCATTTATTTTTATTGTTAAATTTAACACTGTATTCATATTTTTTATTTTGGGTAGAATGTAATAATTCCATAACACAATAATGGTTATTCTTACATGATTTTCAGCACAGACAGCAGAAAAGAATTATGTAAAATCATGTAAAAGTTTGTTTTTATTACCTTGCCAATCAATAATGACAGGAAGGATTTGTAAATGATGAGACAAAGCTTTAGCTTTCTATTCATAAATCTAGAATTGATGATATTCCTGGATTTGTACCAACTTTAACCCATGTTAATCATGTCATCTGTTTAAACTTGCAATTGTTATGAAACTTTTGATACCATACTTTGCTCCTCAGTCAACCTGTGTAGATCTGGGGTAACTCTTTATTTTGATGTCCTGAGCAGAGCTTAATGACCTTCTTTGAGTTCTAAAAATAGAGATATTTTGCATTCAACCAGCACAATTAGACAAGTAATGCATTTCCACTAAATTCACTGTAATTAATTGCCAACAAATTCATAGCAATCTCTTCCAGACAGCTGCAATTTGTCTGTACTCTGAGCCTCCGTGGAGCATGGTCTTCAAAGTCTCTTGGATTGCTGTCCTGATTTAAGAAGCTGGATGCCTCCTTTTGATTATGTCTCATCTGTCTTTTCTTTCTAAACCCCCCTCTTGATATATGCTGCACTTTTTTTAGGAAGTAATACTACTTCTATCTTTCCAATTTTCCCTGTGTGGTGTTTCCCATTCTTTCTCAAACCAGTGTAAATTGTTTCATTCCAAGTCAGCAAAAAGATCCTTAGAAATATACTGCTAATTGGTAAATGAATAAGGTATAGATTTGCTTTTCACACAGAGACAAAAAGGTAGATTTGCTGCAATAGTCTGTTTATAAAATGTGTTTTCTATTCCCTCAAACTCACAGCAAAGTTTTAGATGAAAGAGACACATGCAAATAGTTCAAAGCCTTCTCTGTTTCATCTGTATTCCCACAAGAAAGATGGATGCAAAAATGTGGACTGCTAAAGCCTGACTAGAATCTTCTCATCAGCTTGGCTAAAACAATGATAAGCAGAGTCAGCCCAGATTTTGATGAATTGACTAGTCACTGCTCAGATGAGGGTTGTGGGAGAAACCAAAAAGGCTGAGTCAGGGCCACTCAAGGAATGAAGAGATAAGCCTGATGCTCTACATGGTTACTCAAAAGGATCAGGGTGGGGTGTATGTGACCCAGAACAAGGCAGTGTGAGAGATAACGAAATGGTTTGAGTTGTGTAAGAACTGCCCTTGACATCAGGGTGCTTATTTAGCAACAAGGCATGGCAGGAGAGGTAGGAGGGTGGTTTGCCCATAGACGGGTGGCAGGCCAATACTGGGACCAGGCCCGGGAGTTTGCCTCTGTCACAATGTGGAAATTAGTTTTCAAAGTATGGATTTTCCTTTCTTACCAGTGCCAGGAACTTCTAGATAGCTGTTGCTGACCTGCTGCTATGTGTGCTCTGCCCACCCTGGCTCTGTTGCCCTTAAAGCAACAGTAACCAGGAATTGTTTTGAAGTTCCTGGCATGGCAATATTGCCAGGGTGCAGACTCTGAGGAGTTGGCAGGCAATTCCAGCACCTCTCTTCGCTTGGCACCAAGGGTGGGTGTTCCTCTTGCCAGCTTAGGTACACTACTGGGTATTAGTCATAGACATGGCATAGAGTCAACATATTATATTAAGATTGCATGTAAAATGCAATGGGATAAAGTTGCAGTGGGCTTGAGTTTTAGACTAATAGTATGATCCAAACAACTTCTGGATCTCCACCAGCCACTGAGATTGCTTATGAGATTATTTAAAAAGGAGCTTAGATGGCAAAAATATCCTTCTGTTTTAGGGCAAAAGGCAAACTATAACTGGGAAGATTAGGAAAAAAACTCCCCCCAGGTTATTCTATCACAGTGCATCAGGATCTCTTTGAGCCTTTCTTTGACAAATTTAGAGAGACAACCGGCTAGACAGCTGCTTGATTTTGAACTTCTTTGACCATTTCTATATTCTTATATTATTCAGCATATCCCCTCTGTATAAATAAACATAAGGAATAGTGGCATTATAGCTATATGCTGTTATACCTTTAAAAATCTGAGCTCCACATCAACTTTCAAGATTGTACTTTCTTTGAGGATTCAGACCTTCAGCACAAAGGAATATCCATTCTGATTTGCTTTTTCTAGTCTTGTGTTCAGATGATTGTATGGGGGGGGAGGAGGTTCTCTTCCTGTTTCCTGACTGTATGAATCTAGAGATATTATAAAAATCAATTGATTAGAACATTTTGAATGGAATTTCATGTTGAAACAAAAATGCTTTTCAGAGACATGTCAAGTTTGATAAAAAGGATTTTTGAGAGACTGAGAGAGAGAAGCAAATCATTGTGTATGACTTCCAGGTTCAAATTGCTGCTCTATATCATTCAAAACCAAGTTTTTTATCCTAGGATCTTCCATACCCTAGGTTGATGTAGTCAGCACATATACATGTGATTCACAAACCTTTTGCTAATTCACAAACCTCAAGTTTCCTGTCAAAAATACGTAATCTGATGCTGGTTATGTTTTCACAAAAATATTTTGTTTTCTTTTTATTCAAAATCAAATTTCAAAACCTTAAAAGTTGCCACAAAGCAGAATTGCTGTCCTCCGGCTAAAAAGTTTGTAGAATGGCAGTCTAGTCCCACACTTTCCATAAAGTTCAGTAGCACAGATCCATTGTGTATTCTTGTTATCATAGAATCCAGGCATGAAAACAGTGACGCAAAAAATGCCAGCATGTGATGAGTTTTTAACAAATGCAGCATTGCATGGAGAGAAGCATGTAGCATCAGCCTTTTGCCTTGAGACATATAGATAAAACATGTAAATCTTTAACTTAAGGCTATAAGTGGCAAGAACTCACATTTATTAAACATGAAAAATCCAGCAATACATTAAGAAGATAAACAGGGGTGTGTGAAGCGGGCAGTATTCGATTTGGATTTGGCCCAATTTGGGGGACAGTGATTCAATTAACTGATTCACATCACTGTCCCAATTCGATTCAGCTGAATCTGAAGATTCAATTTTGATTTAGAGAATCAGTGATTCAGCCATAGACACAACTTTATATGTTTTTTTCTATGTACTTTGAGGTACCAGGTACAGGTCATGAACACTGAGATGGTGGGGCAGATGGAGCATTCCACGGAAGCTCAGGGGGGTCCCCTCAGTGGTGGACCTGGAAGTGGACTAGAAGTAAAAAGTCTAGTCCACCTCTGGGTCCGCTACTGAGCGTGAGGGGGACCTGCCGGTGCCTCCCCAGCTCGGTGATCAGCTGCAGGGGGGACCCTGGGTGTGCCCTCAGACCCAGGAGGCACAAATTACCAAGCCAAGGGATGGGGGGAAGGGGTCCCCCATGCACTCCACAGTGGACCTGGAAGTGGACTGGAAGTACTTCTGGTCCACTTGTAGGTCTGCTGCCAAGCACACAGGGGAGTCCCCCACACTCTCATGGCACGTTCCATCTACCACACCATTTCAGCATTCTTGAGCCATACCTGGTACCTTGAGGTATGTAGAAAAAACATAAAGCTGTGTCTATGGTCAAATCAGTGAATCTCTCCATATCAAAATGGAGGCTTCCAATTTGATTCAGAGAGATTATTGGGTATCCTGATTCGATCCAGATTTGGCTGCTAAATAGGGCTGAATCTCCTCTGAATTGAATCGGCAACCAAAGTTTCCCATGGCCCTAAAGATAAATATCCTCTCTGTTAGTTCTTGGCTTATTCCTGTTAACCTCTTAAAAATCTTAGTGTATAGTTATGAAACAATTTTGACACATGGGGAAATGTGGCCAGTTTTCCAAACATTTTTCTTTACTTGTGCACTTAAATTCATTTATAAACTTTTATTTTACTTCCCATAGAAATAGTCAGATTGATAGCCTTAGAGGCTGTTTATAGAACTGGTCTGGCCTGCATGACATATCATTAATGCTTGATTTTTCCATGCAGTCCTACCAATATGCCATAGTGCAGACATGCAAATCCCATCACAAATAGGGAGAAGACAGAGTATTTTTCAAGATAAATTAGTCCTTGCTTCTTCTTTTGAGGAAACCAGCATTATATGTGTCTGCCTTTTGCAAACTGGAACCACCAAATCATATCTAAATAGTCCGCTTATGTGATCAGACTTGGACTCATGGTCTTAAATGAAAAAGCTCCCTATCCTATTACCAGACCAACAGAAACTAAATCTCCTCTCCATTCACTTGTTCACAGCATGTACCTTTGTCATTCAATCAATAAGCAAATGCTTGCAAAAACAAAAAAAGAGCACCATCTCTTTAATGCTCCACAAGTTTTTTTCTAGGCTGTCTCATGTCCCATGCCATTTTATACAACTACTGTGAGTACATGAAACACAGGAGGTTCTGGGCTCACTCATCTCAATGTGCATTTGACATATGGCTGTAAGGATGAATCATTAAACCACTGATCAGTGTCTAAGTCTGAATGTCTAGATAAAGAGCAGATAAAATGGTTGGTGTCTATGGACAACTTCCAGTCCATGAACTGCACAATGGAAAAAAGTCATATCTAAAATAAGAAATCTCAGCCGCCTCTGCAGACTTTCTCTGCATCAATGTCTTATGAGCACCTGAAGCAAGCCCTGATATTAACTACTGTGAGATTTTATTATGGCAGGTAATTGGAAGGTTATAAGGCTGATAATTTAATGTTTGGTTTTTTTTTAAGAAAGTCACTTAAGCCAAAGAGGCTGTGTATGAACACAAACAAATGGCTAAGGCTGTCTGGTCATTTTGCCTTAACTGGCTTTAAAATAAAATAAAAAAATTATGTGCCAGGCTATCAAAACCTTGGGTCCCTATCAGGTCATTAGTTTTTAAGCAGACTTGTCCTTGGACATCAATGGCTTGATATGATAGGAGGGCTTGATCAATGCACTGCCCAGGCCAGGATGGCATTCTGTTCCTACAGCACCTCCACTTGATTGCAAGGTATTGTTTTGACCGGAAAATTTGTTCTGGTGCAAAATTCAACATCATGTCCCAGGCTGGCAATTCCTCTATAGTAGAATTCTATTACTTTTTCATAAATTAGAACACAAGTCATCTAGGTTCTGCTAGCATGGCTGGGATATACAGTGTACTGAGTTATTGAAGAGAGAATTCTAAAGCTTGGCACTTTCACAATAAAGACGGTGCTTAAAAAGGTCTGTGTTCATATGCTTATAAAAACTTTAGACCACATCATCATACATACTGGGCTGTGCCATTTGCTGTGGCACCAGTTTACTTGAAGTAAATTATTCATGAGTAAACAATGAGTAAATAAGAGGGCTGGAAGCACTCAAAAGCCAGCCCCTCCCACTGCTCCCTGGCCAGCCACTTCCCTGGCCTGGAGAAGCAGCTCACACAGCACAGAAGCAGCGTGTAGTAGCACCCTACTCACCACCTCTGCCTCCCTGTGCCATGGCTGCTCCTGCCTCTGCCCCTGGTAGTGATGACCAGTACCCTTCACTTCTGCTGATTCCCACACTGGTCCTGTTAGCCCACACCAACCACAGCCATCTCGCCCCTCCTGGCTTCCCCATAGGCAGTGACTGCCTTCCCAGGGCTGCTGCCATGCACTTACCACCTTGACCCTGTCTGCCTCACCCTTGGCCATGCACTTGCCACCCTGACCTTGTCACAGACATCAATGATGGGCTTCAGGATGACACTGCTGGGGCTGCTGTCAGCCTCCTGGTCTTCCATCCTCACCACGTCAGGGCCCGATGGGCCAGCTAGGACTGGTAGCAGCACATTGTCCAGCACACCTGAGATGATAAGTGGCTGGAGACATTCTGCATGATCAACAGTAAAGAACCTTTTTCCTCATGAAAACTGTTAGACCCCAACTCCATGCGGCACCCAACGACTAGGGATACAATGGTCCACTTACCCATGGATCCTGTTACTCATTAGTCAGACCAGAGTGGGGAGAAAACACCAGCACGCATTGCTTGCAACAGCTTTATTCAGAATGGAAACAGCTTTGGACAAGGTCCTCACACCATAAGAGATGGGGTCCTGCCCCGAGCAATAGGTTCATTCTACATTTATGCACTTTGGTTTATACTCGTTAACATTCCCTTCTCCTTCGTCCCACCGTCTGTTCCACCTTCAGAAGAGAAGGCTGAGGGGGGATTTTGTGACTGTCTATAAATTCACTAGGGGGGACCAGAAGGGTTTGGGGGAGACCTTGTTTCCCCTAGCGCCCCCCTGGATAACAAGGAATAATGGCCACAAGTTGTTGGAGAGTAGGCTTAGATTAGACATCCATAGGAACTACTTCACAGTTAGGGAGGCTACGATCTGGAACCAACTTCCAAGGGAAGTGGTGCTGGCTCCTACCCTGGGGGTGTTTAAGAAGCGGCTTGATGCCTACCTGGCTGGGGTCACTTGAGCCCAGTTTCCCTCCTGCCCAGGCAGGGGGTCAGACTTGAAGATCTACAAGGTCCCTTCTTACCCTACTTCTATGATTCTATGATTCACCCATTTCTCCTCCCATCTCAAGCTCCACCTCTGTTTACTGTTTGCATCATTAGCATGGAATTGCCTATGCATTTTACTAATTTAAATGTATTTTTGCTATGAGTGCATATCTAAGACCTTGATGCCTACTGTTCAGTCAATGGGCAGACTTTGACCAAAATCTGGAAACTTCTGGAGGCTTCTTCACTAAACACCATTCCCTTTTTTGCATATGCTCATCTCGGATTCTGTTACCAATTATGTGTTGTTTTTCACATCCCAGTCTGTTTTTCTGTCTCATGTTGTACCATCTTCCACATTCCTAAAACAACACCTAATTCACAGCACACAGATTTACTTGCTGCTTTTCCCTCAGAAAAAGGTTGACAGTTAAAATGGTTACTTTGCATAAGCAAACAGCTGGCTTAGATATCATTCTGCCTTGTGGTCAGCTGCTTTGCTAGGTCACAGGTCATGCCTTTGTATTCAGCTGCAAATCCAGTGTTCCCTAATAATCCAAATTATTGTTACCCTAACAAAAACTATGTGCAATATCTTTTGTGTGCCGACCAAGGGTGGAGGGCCCTGGGGTGGGGGCACCGAGAGGGCAAAGGTCAGGGGCAAAAAGCCAGAATCCCAGCCTCTGGCTGTTCCCCATGGGTGCTCACACTGCAGTGAGTGTGGCAGGCAGGGGCTTGCCCAGAGGTGACGGTGGCCAAT